CTTACTGGTGTGCTGCTGTACGACTTGCTCCCATCACTTGCCTATTTTTCTGACATTCCGACTTTGGAGACGGGCTGATGTATTACTTATAAGTTTATTTCCAGACTTTCTGTAAAGACGTTGGACCATTCGCGACGACAGCAGCACCAGCTCCTCAACCACCTCAACCGCCACAAATGCCACAGGTTGAATCCGCGGAAGGTTGATCATGAAGTAAGATATTCGGCAGACATTCATGTAATGTTTGATACTTTTCTGAAAAAATAGTGTTTCATCATTATATCTCGTCCAATCTTTCCGTCCATTCTTGCAGTGATGGATATTCTCGCAGTCCAGTTTCCAAAGCTTAATACAACGGCTTAATACGAAACTTCATGGAAACTGGACTGCGAGAATATCCATCACTGAAACAAGTGAGAAGGGAAGAGAAAAAGTGAACAAAAAGTGAATGAGGAAGTAGACATGATTAGTGATCAATTCAGGTTGTTGCCCATCCCATTCCTGATGAGCGACCGACCCCAGGACAGAGATACGATGATCGCCCGCGGCAGCCTATGCGTAAGTCTTTGAATTGGAATAGTGTTGTGGAGCCATAGGAACATTGCGCCTTCGTGAGTATGGAAATATCATCCGGTCGATGTAGTTTTCCGTGTGTTCTATGTTAGAATTCGACGACTAGCAACTGAGTGGTGCTGGTTCGGCTTAACGATTCAGCTTCGAAGAGAAACAGCGTTTTATGATGAATAAAAGAAGCACTAGCTACAAGAAAGATGGATTAGAATGAGCTCCTTCTTGAGATTGTAATCCTAATTTGTATCATAACCTCTTTCTTTTACTTCCTGTACGCAATCATAGTATGTTGCATATTTTCTCTTTAGCAAATATTTGTAGCTGTTGAGGACTCTTTCTTTTCAAGCTTTATCGTTGAGCTTTCGCTGATATAAAGAGAATATTCAAAAAATGAGGCTCAGAGATAACTCCATTTTACAATAGTATGTTGCGTTAGGCGGGTGACAGACTTAGAGCAATCGCAAGTGCCGCACACGCTACAGCCAATGGCCCCTTAGGTGTGTCCGATATGTGCTCGTGCAGCGCCGTCGCTGTTGATTTAGAGCTTTTGTACTTTACTACTTGGATTGGCTCAAAGTTCAAACCATACCGCATGTCCATTTGAAAAATGAATGGCAGAAAACATTGTTTATATTCCCCGAACCCCATTAACATTGTGCAAGTTCATTGGGTGCGGGATGGGCTTTAACTTCTATAGTCATAGACCGACCTCAGCACCCTGAATGCCGAATGGCGGTTTGATAGATTTCCGATTTGAGGCGTTCTGGTATCTTCTTATCGCAGAGAACGCCAGTCATTGAGCGCCATTTCGACCAGGCTGCACTTCACGCGAGAATTCGTTTCAAAGACCAGGCTGCCGTCAGACGCGATTGCTGATCCAAGATACTTGAATGTGTTGTACGTGTAAGCTCAGTACTATCGATTTCAATAAACCTCGTTCGTGCAAATCTAT